ATGAGTGATAAAAACACTCGTAACAATGATAAATAGAGGTATGGTACCATTTTTTTCCCGATACAATAGGCAACTCCTAAAAACAAAACAAATAGAGGAATACAAAAAAATCAAATCAAATCACAAATAAAATAGTTTCATATGAAAAGTTCTTATGGAGAGAGCTTCTACTAAACACAGAAACAAACAGTCAGAGGAGAGAGAGAGAGAGAGAGAGAGCGACTATCCATTTATTCAGATCTAAGGACATATCTACATACGAGTAATGTTATATAAATTTAAAAATTAGAGTTAAAAATTAGACTTGATAATCATAACTATTGAATATGTGGTGAATTTCAATAAATACTGAGACTTACTGTGAAATCAATAGTTATAATTATCAAATTTAATTTTTAAGTTTAATTTTTAAATATATGTAACATTGCTCGTCTACATATATGCTACTCTTACATGTCTATTCCAAACCTCATAAATACTCCTAATTACATGTCCATTCCGAACCTCATAAATACTCCTAAGCCATGAGGCCAGGAAGGCACTAGACAAGCCTTCGTTGGCAAATTATGGGACGCGATGAATGACCTGCCTCTCATGTCAACAAAGAAATTGAAATGGCCTGCGGACTATATGTTTTTTGAGGAGGTAGTGGCTGCCTCGTCCACTATCACCTTCTCTTCCTCCATTTTCTGTTGCCTTCTAAATGACACCACCTTCAAAACTAACTTGCTAGTGAACTTGACTAAATTCTGAATAATCCGAATCTTAACCTGGCCTCGCTTTGGAGGAAGCCTTACCTTTTTTAATTTCTGGGGCTTCACAGATCCATTGGCCGTGGCCATTGCCACTCGGCAGGTTAAGACTTGTTGGGAGGTGGAGTAAGCAGAGAGCAGGCAAAGATACAAGAAGTGAGTGAGGAGGGGGAGGAAGTTGCCAATAGAGCAGGATTTAAACAAGGATGGAATCTCAGGAATGCACTAACGAAATTTCTCGTTTGGNTTAAGACTTGTTGGGAGGTGGAGTAAGCAGAGAGCAGGCAAAGATACAAGAAGTGAGTGAGGAGGGGGAGGAAGTTGCCAATAGAGCAGGATTTAAACAAGGATGGAATCTCAGGAATGCACTAACGAAATTTCTCGTTTGGAAGTTGAAGATAGCAAATTTATGAAAAGAGAATGCTGATAAAGGGGATAAGTAGTTAGAATGGTCTGTTGCGGAGAAGCAGAGATTGTAGAAAAAGAGACTAACAGTTGCAAAAATTCAAAGCTATTTAAACCATGTATCCTATCACTTTTTTTTTTCCGCCGTAGCACGGATACTTGAGAGGATTTGCTCTTTTCAAATGCTCCAACCCACACAAGGGATTCTATAAGCAGCAAGTTTAATTTATAAGGAATGAAGACGGTAACAAATTTATGGTCTTCTTTGTCAAATCAACAGTGTAGAGACATTATGCACAACACTTAAAACACACATGTATAAGGAAGTTATCAACTGGACTTGTCTGCCAGCTTCCAGGTCTGCCCAACAATTAGACAATAAGCAAAAGAAATAAAAACAAACAATAATCATGCAATTGAAATAACATATAAAAACAGTTTCTATTGTCTGGCTAGAGGATTGAAAGCACAGAGTCAAAGTCACCTGTTGCCCAAAGAGTGCCTCACACGTGCTTTTTCAACAGTGGTGACGACTCCACATCTCAATTTTCCTTGGATTTTGTAGAACTCGGTGTTCCCCAGGACAAAGACTTGGATAGCTCTGCTAGGGGATAACAGCAGACAGACGAGACAGGTTATGGCCCCAGGTGAAGGAGACAACCTTGTAGTGGAAGCAAAAATGACTAAAACAGCATTTGTATAGAGGGTACTGCTATTGACACCCCCACATTCGACCGTGCAGGGCGGAGCCAAAACTTTTTAGTTGCAGGACCTTTTAATTAGTCGTTAATTTTGTGTCATGTTTATGAATAATATTTAGAGTTGGAGTTCAACTTTGATATCAAAGGGGCCACGGTGGTGGAGTTTATAAGCATTATGGGTTATATAAATTTTTGAGTTTTTTTTTAAAAAAAAGAGAAAATTAATTTTTTTTTTTTTACAAAATTATAACTTTTATGAGTCATATTATAACTTTTAGGATTAAAGTTACAATTTTTTAGGATCAAACTATAGTTTTTGAGATACTTGAAATCAATTTTAAATATTAAAATCAATTATTTTAATTCAAGATCAAATGTGAAATTCCAAAATATAGTTTCTTAAATTTATTTAAATAAAAAATATTTTGTCGTCCTTAAAAAAAGTTTATTGAATGTGATCCAAATTGACTCATCATGGCGTATTTTTTAATCTAACCGTCTATTCAAATTTGTTTATAATTAATTAAATTTTTGTTTCATTTAAAACTATTAAATCTAAAAGGTCAAGGATTTGGTCGGTCAAGATCACTTCAAATTTTTTTGGTTAGTAGGGTCACTTCATAGTTTGCTATTGTTTTTATTGAAAATTCCAATGTTATCAGCGGACACATGGGCCCACATCAAAAAGTCTGTCGAAGACAAATAATGCCACATTTGTTTGTAAAATACAAATTTACCCATGAACTTTGATAATATTTTACTGGGGACAATGCCTTAAATTTTTGAAATTCTAAATATACCCTACATGTTCTAAAAATTGCAGTGGGGGCAGTAGATTCGCCCCTGCATAGACAAAAGGTGGAGGGGGAGAGGGAAACGTGGAGTGCCAATTGGGTTACCATTCGATGTATTGCAAAGCAAAGCAGCCTAAGGATGAACCTTTTTTTTTTTTTTTTTTATAAGAAACAGAGTTTAATAGACAAAATAAAAGTAAACATTATCTGACAAAGTGCTGTCCAACACGTAGTAATACAATGTCAATGAAGCCAACATGAAACTAAGAAATAAACCCGATCTCACAACACTTCTATCCAGAGGTGGCTCGATATGTTTTGAAACGATAAATTTAATTGTGACTTTTTAAAGTTTTTTTTAATAATAATGTAAATTTTTTAATATTTAATTTTTTTTTTCCGGATGCATATTAATTGTTTAGTATTCTTATTGAAGTTTTTCTAACATATCTTTTTTTATTGATAGTATAACTAATTGATTTAATTTTTAATTAAATAAAAAATTCTAAAACATTCAAATTCAAAGATTATTTGACAGATTATGTTGTCTCATTATTGACACTCTTATAAAATTATTTTTTTTATGAATTATGGACTTCTCATAGAATATATGTTTGATTAGGTTTTTTAAGATTATGATAAAAAAAAATAATATTACATGGATTTTATTTAGTGACTTTATTTGTCAACATTATCATTTTTTGTTATTAGATAGACAGTGGACCCTAATATTAGTTGAGACCCACTATCAATTCTATAGTTATGATCCATCATGTCACGCGATAAGATTACTAAATTCGGTACAAAATATATTTTCTCATAAAATGTTATTTTGTGAGATTAATGGATTAAACTTTTGGGCCCAAAATTAGTCTAGAATTTTTTTATCGGTTTAGGCCTTCAGAGGCTTTTTTAATGAGTTAAAATTGATTGGACTATATTTGTAGACTTTTTAAATTTTGGAGCCTTTATTATTGGTGGGCCTAAAGCCACTGCTTCATTTCCTCCTACATTGGGCCGGCCTTGCTTCTATCACTTCCATTTTAGCTTCAAATTTTCTCGGATCTCTTCCGACCAAATTACCCAAACAATAACAAGGAAAGCACGTTGTCAAATAGTTGCACCCTCCCAACTCCATCCTATCTTTTGGAATCCAAGCAAAAGATATTGTGCAAGGACAATGTAACAATTAAGGGTCCACCATTTTCTGTACACATAACTCACCTTTGTGGGCAAAGACTAGGACTGTTACTCAAATTGAATTACTCAAGTTTGACTAAGATTCAAGTTCAATTCGTTTAGATTCGGTTTATTTTTTAAACGAACCCGAACTTAAACAAATTTTTAAACTTGTTCAGAAAACAAGTCCTATAAGCTCGGGTCAAACTCAATAGACTCAATTCGTTTATGTGCAATTACTTGAAATCAACTCGGGTTCGATTTGTTTTAAGTTCGTTCAAGCTTAGCTCATTTTTTAAACAAGTCAAATTTGAACAATTTTTTAAGTTCGATTAAAAAACAAAATTTTCAAACTCGGTTCGAACTCGTTCGACTAACAATCCTAAAAAAAGACTCGTAAGGGTGGGCACATTAAGGTAAAGAGTGTCCCTTCCAGGTCTCAACTTCCAACTGAGCCAACTGAGATCTCTCAAAGTTGTTCCCCTTACACTAAAGCCCAAGTCAGCAACATATGAATCAAAGACACAGTATTGAATCACTTCCCAAGGGAAAGGGAAAGAGGAAGAGAAATTCGTACGACCACTAGGCCCACTACAATAATGGCAAGGTCCCTTCTATGTTGATGAAAGAAAAGGAATCGACAAATTGCAAAGGCAGATCTTGACCCAAAGGACACAAGAGAGAAATTATCACCCAAGCATTATATTTTCTCAAATTGTCAAAGCATCTCTTGTTTCGTTCTGTTGAATCCCTTCGAAGCTAACATGCGTATTTAAATAACACATGACCAATTTGGCAAAAATCATCCAATGTGCTTAGGTGGAGACCAAAAAAATTCTACAGTTTCTTTCCCAACACATGGCCATAGCATGTGATTGTTTTCTAGCAGTATACAGTGGTGGGCAATATCATAGTATTCCAAACTATAATTAATTAAAGTTCCTAGGAAAAGAATAAATGATTTATATGCCAGGAAGTATAGCCGTATAAATAGAATAGTAATAAAACCAGCAGAATAAAGGACAAAGGATCAGCTGCATTTGCATACCGATATAGCTGCATCAATTTACAATATACAAAAGCCCTGTTCTATGGCAATTTCCATGGAAACAATATCATATCTTTACAGCAAATATTTGTTTCCTCCGACAGAAATTTATAAGAAGAATTCACTTGATTGGAGCAAGAATGGTATAGACCAAAAGAAACGTAACTATAATAATAGCCCCAAATAAAGTGAACCTCGGACTGGTCCATAACATGAGGGTTGACCTCTCTGTTCTCTTAATGGGATCAACCTCCTCCGACAGTGGGTAATTGGAACGCCTAGGATTCCGGCTCACATACTTGTCTGGAGAGAACTGTGAGAATAGAGTCTTTTTACCTTGTTTACGGAAGCTTGACCAGGCCTTGTCCCAGTCAGTTGAGTACTTATCACCTGACAATGTGCAAAGATAATGTCAGCAATAATTATTTGCTTCCAATGGTGTGATTGAAGAGCAACATGAAGGAATCCTTCTTTTATGCTTATTTTCTCAATAAAGTAGGTTTGTTTCCTATTAAAAAAAAATGAGCAACATGAAGGTAATATAAGAACCATTTCCTTTTGTTTTCACGTAAGTGATATCATGATAGAGATTGCAGCATACCCTTATGACACAACCATAAGCCACAATCCTAAGAGAGTCACCTCAAGTGTCCATTATTCTTCTTCAGAGCAAGAAACCCTTTCTAAATTTTTCTGTTTAAAGTCAAAAGCCCATATGTAAAAGGCATTACATATGGGTGTGGAGGACACAACTTGAAGTCTGACGTAATCATGCCGTTAGAATCTGTTGAAATCCCCAGCTGTTTTCTTCAGGATAAATAATTGTTACGACTGCAATTCCAAATTTTATTCCCTTCACTAGGATGCAAGGAAAGCACAGAGAACAAGGTATGTTTCAATTACAAATGATACAAGCTACAATTTCATGAAATGGTTTGTAATGTCGGACCAACATTGTACAATATTGTCCGCTTTAGGCCATGGCCGCAAGGCATTAAAACATGTTGTACAATGAGGATTCAAAGCTTACATTCATAAACCACTTCGCCCACACTAGACCAAACAACACAGAACTAAGTGACTATAATACACCCATTTAGTCCCACACAAGACTGTGTGGACCCATCCATACCTTGAAGATGTGAGTTTCCGTAGGATTAGTCTCACCACGCTGGCTTTCACCATCCCTTTTTTTTTTTT